AAGGAAGGAAGGAAGGAAGGAAGGAAGGAAGGAAGGAAGGAAGGAAGAGAGGGAGGGACGGAAATTTTCCTATCTTGAAAACTTGAAAAAAAATATGTATTTGTTAAAATTCTAAATGAGAAGTGCTGTTGATGCTAAGAACCAGGCTTACATCTATCAAAGAACTAAATCACATCAGAAGTAGGAAAGGATTATACAAGTAGAAGTACCAAAGTCAAAATGAATGAGGCAAAAGTAAGATCCTCTCCTCTAATATCTACCTAACTGAAGATTTTTTTAAACAAATAAAATTAACTCTATAGACTCCAAGTTAAATCCTGTATGTCTGTATCTATTGTCATGTGTGAGGCAAGTCCAATAATATTATGTAGCTATCTCAAACATCACAGGTTTTTCTTCTAGAGTTTTATTCTTTTGAGCTTTAGCCTCAGCTGGCAAAGCCTAAAGTCTGGTTAAATCCAACAGTCTAACTCCCTGTGTTCCCCTAAGGAGCTTAAATGTGTCTAGAGGAAACTCACACAAGATGGAGACTGTTCTCAAGTTTACATTTATAACTTCACATTACATTTCCCTTAGTTAAGCTACTTTCAACCCTGCACCTATTCCTACCTTTTGATATGTCTGGGATTTCTTAATGCAAAGCTTTCATAATTCAATTCTTCCGGAAAATAAACCTTTTGTCTCCTGCAGGACAAGGATAACGTTACTTAGCTACATAATTAGGACAGAATACCAGCATAACTAACCACTCCTTGCACAGACTACCAACCAATTTCTGTTTTCAGCACCACACCTCACCTAAGCCTTCAGAGATCCCTAGAACTTCCATAAGTTTCTCTAAGGTTCTGTGCGGGTGTAGACTTGCTTCTCATCACATCTACAATTTATTGCTTCTTCAGTTCTAAGACCTTTCTTTACTTTTTTCATTCACTGAAAGCTCCCATCCACTGTTGTTTTCCTTTTCTGTTGTTTCTTCCTATCATTTCAGTGCAGTTTTAGGAAGACAAAAATAAAGGGGGTGGGGGTGGGGGGTCAATCCTTCCTATTTAGCCACAAGTCTTTATCTTATCTTTAAGAACTGACATATAATGGAATACAATATTGTATTCTTTCTCAAAAGTAGCCTTAAAAGTTGCCAATGTCCTAACAAACTAAGAAATAGTTTAGAAAAACAAAGGGAAAGATAAATAGACAAGCAACCAGTAGTGCTTTCCAGATAAGAAACGGTTATCTAGTACTTTTTTACCAGAATGAACACTTTATGGTAGAAGACTTTTCATTGTCTTTTGGCATTATGTAATTGCTTTTTGGAAGGAACAAAAGAAGTTTTGTAAGTGGATGGATATACCACATAAAATACAATATAAAATGCCTTAAATACAGTTCAAGATATGCAGGAAAAAAAACTTCAGAACTTCAAGATTCTGCTCAATGTCACCTCCTAATATGAAATTAATAATTGCTTAGTTCTCTATGCTCTCATAACGTACTTACACCTACAACATGTTTTACATTACATGGTAATTTCTCTCTTTGCAATCTGCTGCACTCTACATAACAATAAGCCACTCAAGGCAGGAAACCCTTTTATTCATACTTTTATCCCAAGACCCCAGCACAGTGCTTGTCATATAGCGGTATTCAAAATATCCAGGATGTTTAATTAAGTATAGCATATAACACACCTCCCATGGCAAGGATTCCAAATAAAAAGCTCTTAATTACATCTACCTCCTTCTATTTCTACAACTGCCTTATTTTAGGCCCTCATCAGTTCTCACCTTATCCCCTTCCTATCTCACCTACTTAATAGACACATCTGGATGTCAGGATGGGTCTTCATTTGTCACCACAACTACTACCCAGATTGACTGTGCTTTTCTAGCTAATGAATAAATCCCCTTACTCCTTCCCCTAAGAATGAAGTGTGGTTTTTTAGCATGGAATATAGATCCCTTCAGAACTTGGTCTCTGCTTCTTTTGCAAACTGTTCTCCACTACTTCCCTAAGCTCCAATCATACAAAAATACCCAATTTCTGGTGAGACGCTTTATCATACTTCTCTCTCACTGCATGCTCTATGCCCATATTGAGACACTTTTGCCAGTCTTCTTTGCCTAGCTAATTTGCGTTACCACAAGGTTCAACTCAAACTCACTCTCAACTCAACCTGGGAAGCCTTCCCTGATTCTCTGTAGCCTGTTTTAGAAGAGTCACCCTATGCTCGTGTCATGCATGCTCTCTACTAATGGCAGCACTTACCAAATTAATTTACATTGTCAGTATGCCCATCTACCTCCCCCAATGAACTGTCAGTCCATTGAGAACAAGGACTGTCTTCACTGAGACTGATGAAGTCCATATTTAAGTAATCAATCTCATGATGAAGACTTCTTCCTACCTAATAAATATTTGTGGATGTGTGTACTGTGGGAAAAAGAGACAGTAAGTAAATGCAAGAGACAAACAAAAACAGAGAAATTCTCCAGTGGAAGAGGAAAAAAAAAGTGACAAGGATTTAAATAATTGGGAATTTTTTTTTTTTAAGTAGGCTCCACACCCAACATGGGGCCTGAACTCATGACCTGGAGATCACGAGTCGCATGTTCCACGAACTGAGCAAGCCAGGTGCAATAACTGGGAAATTTGATCATTACTATATAAACACAGGCCCTTTGACATAACAATTACATTCCAGAGATTTACCTCAAGGAAATAATTAGATAAAGAGAAAAGATATAAACTAAGTTAACTGTTAGACTGATGTTTAAAATAGTTAAATATTGGGGAAAAAATCTAAATGTCAATTGAAAGCAGCCATTTTAACAGTACAAATTTTATTTATTTATTTTAATTAATTATTTAATTAACCAACTTAACTGACTGAGCCACCCAGGCACCCCAATGTACAAATTTTATAAATTCCCCATGTTTTGGGAAAATTTTTAAGTCTCTTTTAAGATTTTATTTTTAAGTAACCTCCACACCCAACATAGGGCTCAAACCCACAACCCTGAGATCAAGAGTAGTCATGTGCTCTACTGACTGAGCCAGCCAGGTGTCTCAAAACCTTAAAGTCTTAAGAAATATACACTAAAATATAATACAAAAACTCTTGGTAGTGTTCAGGTGACTTACATTTTTTTCAATCTTCTGTAGCCCTAATTTTTCATGGAATGAATGTTTATTATTTCTGTTTTTTTAAACATTTATTTATTTATTTTGAGAGCGAGCGAGCGAGAGAGAGCAAGGGAGGGGCAGAGACAGAGAGAGAAAGAGAGACAGACAGAGAGAGAATCCCAAGCAGGTTCCACGTTGTCAGCACAGAGCCCGACATGGGGCTGGATCTCAGGTACAGTGAGATTATGACCTAACCTGTAATCAAGAGTCAGAGGCTCAACCAACTGAGCCACCCAGGTGCCCCTATTTATTATTTGTTAATAATAGAAAAGAGAATTGAAGAGACATG